GATTTGAACTGGGTTGACTAAGCCATAATGCCAACTATTATATTTGTATTCAGATATTGTAAATATACTAACCTCATGTCGAAACATTAATTTGAAATAATCAGTTGCAGTAGACAAAATAATCTTATGCACTCGAAATTTTTCTGAACCAACTTTCATCGTAAAATCACAATATAGACCAGCTTTCCTGTACCTGAAATGAAATATATATTTAATTTTAGTGTCATCACAATTTTTAGTATGAAGTTTGACTATGCTTCTACAACCATTGTGTCAACATGACTCATAGGTTGGAAAACAGTGACCTAGACCAGGGGTGTCGAACTCGCGACCTGTGGGTCGCATGCGGCCCCAGAGAACTCCCAATGCGGCCCTCGAACGCTTAACAATAATTGTAATATTTTGGAAGTTTTCTTATCTAAATGTAATACGTTTTTCAAACCTTTCAAATTGAAATAGATTATTCACACACAAAACGACAATTTACTAAAAGTAGTTTTTAAAGAACAAAATTTCATTTGTTTTTAATTTGACCCAATTATGGATACACCTCAAGCTAGAAAAGTATATTTGAAGGAAGTTGGGAGCTTGGAGTTGCAATATTTCTGCATTTCTCAAAATTCTGAAGCACATTGTTTAATTTGTCACATTTCCATCAGTTCAATGAAAGAATACAATATAAGTAGACAATATCAGAATAAATTCAGCAGTCAATATGACAAATTCAAAGATCAACTCCGAACAGAAAATTGTTATGTGCTTGTGTATTATTATAATTATACAACTACCTAGTTACTAAAAATCAATATCAACCATAACTCAAGCGCCCGATGCCACGTAATGGTTAGAATGGTCGCAAAATGTGGCGGGAAATGTCTTGTCCAAAAAGTCAGTCATTTGTTTGTTTACTGATCTATACATGAAATGATAAACGTAATATTTTGGCCTTACTGAAATTAATCGAACTTTCCCAACGATCCGATGATCATGTGACCTCGTTAATTGAGTTGGTACTGTAAAATCATTTAAGCCTGATATTTGTAAGCTGGTAGCACAAAAGAGATGCCAAACGTCAGGACATATGTAATGAAAAAACATTAAGTTTATTCTGTAGTAATTTTGTAAATTTTAGGTCTATATATTTAGATTACCGTACGTCATTTTTAGTGTATGTATTATTCTTTCCTTATCAAAACTGTGTTCAAAAATGTTTTGGATAGTTGTACATAAAAATTTATGATTTTTTGTAATAAATACAGTGAATTGCAATAACAGTGAAATGCAGAAAAATTAATATGTACCGTAAATGGCCTTTGAAATTTAAGAAAATAATAAAACTTCATTCAGCTGTTTAAATGCATCACAATATATGTCACAAATTATACCTACCTAAAATATGCTCCAAGTATACATTATAAAAATATATCAAAAACTGTCTGCGGCCCTTTGCACAATTCCCAAAATGCGATGCGGCCCCCGAAAACCCACAAGTTTGACACCCCTGACCTAGACTGATATCCAGACAAACAAACCATGAACTGCAATATCAAATATTACAGAATTAAGAATATTTTCTATATTTTACATTTGAACATGTTTCTTTGGAATAGTAAATCACGCATCTCCGCCATCCCCACTGTCAACTCTGATATAGGATGGGATTCATTTATTTATGCCGGGGGAGAGGAAAGCCACTAAGGTAGGCTTAATCATATGACGAATCATGGCCTCTCGTCCGGATACTAGTCCATGTAGGATATGGGATTAGTTAGTTAGTTAGTTGTTTTATTTTCGGCAGCATGTACTTGATGGCGTAGTAAGCGGTAAGCGACCAGGGTTATGTGAACCACCCCATAGCGACGAGGAGTCCAACAATTCTTCCATAATTAGCAACATGTCTGCAACCAACCAGACCTGGAATAAGTTCCACAGGAATAATATCCAATTCAATATCTCAAAGACCACAGGTATACTTATACAAAACGGTTTTAAGAGACTATAATTTAACAAATTTTTCTCAAGAATAGTGCTCCCCTTTTTCACAATGTTTTCTGACTACACAGTTTCTATGGACTGTACCATTCAATAGTTATTATTTAGTAAACTATACTAAACAAAGTTCCTCATGGTATTTTTCTTTGAAATAGTTTCTGTAGAAAGAACAGTATATATACAGACAAGGTGATTTAAACATGGGAACACTGAATTTTTATGTGTCATATTATAATTATGTTGACTTATCAGCTTAGTAAATAGTGAACTCTTACAGCGACTGCTACTATGCAGCCTTATACAAAAAGAGATTTTCAGGCCAGAGACCGTTCATCAAACATAAACAGTCCTCAGTAATTTCAGGACTCGAAATAGTGTTTCTTCATAAATAGCTAGACTACTCCATCCAAATAAACTGTGAAAGTCAATGGTTTATTTAGAAATAGGAATCAAAAAATTTCAAAATTTCAGCTACGGTAAATATCACCTAGAGAATGCAAAGCAATGAAAGTATACTTACGATTAAGGTGATTCAAAACATGAGGACACTGATATTTTGTTTGCGGTATTATGAGTATATTTTATGGTCTACTAATTAAGTTCACGGCAGTCACTGGAATACCAAGAGTTACTGAAACTATATGATTGTATCGGTGAAATTATAAGATGACTTGTCATCATATTAGAATAACTGCCACGTGGACTTGGCTCAGTGATTCCACTCAAGTTCAGACTCAAACATGACTTGAGACTCGGATGGCCCACAAGTGTACTTGTCTACTCAAAAATCAGGGACTAAGTATTAAAATTAAACAAAAACTACTAAATTCATGAAACCTATCCTGATAATAGTGTTCCTAATTTCAATTACTTAGATCTGCTGGCTATACAATTCAAATTGAAGGTACCGTTAAAAATTCATTTGTTACTTACAAAGCAAATTTTAGTAATAATTTGTGAGATACTCGTACATCTATCACTGTAAGTCTGTAACTTATAGAAGAAAAAAAATATATTTATTTATGATAATTTGGAAAATAGGAACACTGAATTTTTCTACTTGAATACAATATTCACTTTATCATAGTCTTCACATTATTCTTGAAACATTCTTAACATAGATAAACCTGATTCTAAACCAAAACAATTTCGAACTGGATAATACTAAACTTGAATCAATGGCTTAGTGGTTAGTGCATGGGTCCTAAACTATCTTTAAATCACAAAACTAAAAATAATGAGTTGAAATCAGTTCTGGGAAAGCTAGACCATTTGTCAGAGACTCAAAGTGACCTGAGTCAGCAAATCATATGCAACTGACTGTTGGTGACAACTTGAAGTTGAACCAAGACTCGGTTAGCGTGACTCAACATTGGGTACTCCCGTAGTCTGTGTACCACGTTAGGGTTGTCCCGTAGGGTGTGTTAGGCCACAATTTTATACAGATTTTCAGTCCCTTAACACAACTTGATGTTAAGCAGGAGAACAAAATTAGTTACTTCAATATTGGTACACATACTCCTGTGAGCGCCCAACTTCGCACTTGGCCTCGAATTTGAATCAAGACTTGAAAAGCCGTGGCTCAACTTTGCACTCAGACTCAAGGTTGAATCAAGACTCGAACAGCCGTGGCTCAACTTTGCACTCAGACTCAAAGTTGAATCAAGACTCGAACAGCCGTGGCTCAACTTTGCACTCAGACTCAAAGTTGAATCAAGACTCGAACAGCCGTGGCTCAACTTTGTACTCAGACTCAAAGTTGAATCAAGACTCGAACAGCCGTGGCTCAACTTTGCACTCAGACTCAAAGTTGAATCGAGACTCGAACAGCCGTGGCTCAACTTTGCACTCAGACATGACTCAAGACTTACATAACCAATGACTTTACTTGTGACTAAGGGTTTGGGGACTTTTACCCAACACTTGTCGAACCCACAGCATTGGTGTAATAACAATGAGTTGCCATTGAGTGCCAGGAATGTAATCATTCCAAGAATAAATGATCCTAATGCACCAACACCTTGTTCGGGTTGAAATTGCTAGAACTAATAAAATGGGTTGCTTTATGATATTTCCGTTTTCTGAGCTTTCCCATCTCATGAAATAAATTTAAAATTCCTATCTTAAAGACTGGAGTTTACTTAAACATCAACCCAAGTTTCAGATTAGAGATCAAAAGTATCAAAAATAAACTCCAAAAATGTTACTTTAGTTTCAAATAAATAGAAATAGTCCTGAAAATAGTGTTCATGTTTTGAATAAATAGAAATTCTGATTGTAAATCCTAGTACCATTCCACTTTGTGAACAAAGCAAACTTATTAATAAGTAATGTATTAGTCACCAAAACAACTTCTAGAAGTGTAGATATACAATCAGCAAGGCGTATGGAAACACTGAATATTTGCACATATGTACAAGGCAATATTTCAAAAATTCCCTGTAACCTTGTATAAGTCAAAGTTACATTACAAGATTTGAATGTCTCAAGAATGGTATTTCCTTTCTAAAAACGATAAATTCCAGCTACACAATCCAACAACTTTGTACCATTCAATATTATTCTTTACAGAGCAACTAAATGTCGTATTTTCCAAGGTACATTCACCACAAGAGCTTTCAATATAACATGATAAACATATGGTTTGATGATTTACAAAATGGGAACACTTAATCAGTAATTACGAGCGAAGCAAATATCAATTTGTAAAGTACTTTCCACCAAATTGGCTACAATAAGAGCAGGGTATGTTATGCCATAACATGTTATGTTTCCACATAAATTCAATCCTCAACCCTTTTTTAAATCAGTCTTGATATTTCCTAAACTTTACAACAACCAAACTTTAAAATTGACTGATATCAAAAATGTGGGAATGACAGGCATAGAGACCAAATATATTTTAAAAAAATATACCATTCCAACATAGCCTATTGATGTTTGTATTCTTCTATTAGACAGCAATCATTGAAAAATATATTTTTCAGTTAACTCAGAAAATTTAGTCGGTAGACGACGCTTCACTTTATTCAGTTTTAAACAGTCATTTGATGGGATTTTTCAACAAAAAGAGATATATCTCCATCAGCATGTTAAGTACATTTAATAAAAAATTTTTTATTCTATTCTTCATCTTTTTTCGTCATTAAAACTTCACTAGTTTTGAAAACTTTCCTGGTTTGAAGACAACTTACCTTGCATGCAGATGACTGCAGGCCCAACACATTTAACATTCTTGCTCTTCATCTTTGTCCACTGGTTTCTCAGAGAATCATACTTTTCCACTGTTGTTGTGCTAGATAGACTACATCCACCAACAATCCAGATCTCACCTGATATGTGAATAGAACCCCAATTTGGATATTTTTGAATGGATTTTTTTTTTCAAATATGAATATATTAAGGTGGTGTTGGCATAATGATAAGGGCATTGCCAACCTTTAATCATGGTGGGATTCAAATTTTTAATACTCAACGCAGCAGTCAAAATTCATCTGGTGTATCTGGATCGAGACTTTTACGAGTTCACAGTAGAGGTATGAGGTAGAGGTTCATTTAGTATGACGAATGGTACAATATTTATTTTTCAAGATGTTGTATTACATCACTATGAACAAGGGATTACAACAATATCCAGAAGCCTGACAGGTTTGTAATTGTACCCGTGCTAGTTAAACAATAACACAGATATAAATGGATTCAACCCAACATGTAATAATTTCGAAGTATGCTCACGAAGTATGTAAACCAAGATGGCAGAAACCAGAACGTAGTATGTGTACCAGGTTAAGGTAAGGCCATAATTGTTTTACAATTTTATTTATTTTAATTCTTTTACGAGGTCGAGGACTATCCAAGTGACTCCCATGGTATTTCTACCTGAACTTATGGCCTAACCCTATCCTGGCACACATACTACATTTCGATGTCCGCCATCTTGGTTTGCATACTATGGAAGTACAAAAATTTTATTGTCATATTACATTAAAATTAATTATATTGGAAATGAATTTCATTCCTGGAATAGCTGGAAAAAAACCTCTGTTTATTTTCAATGCTATTTGTTTACAGTGGAAGCCAATAAAATACCTTCACTGCACAAAGAGTTGGGTTTACCGCTCCACTCTAATTTAGGACTTTATGATTACTCAAATTGGAAAGTCAATTCACTCACAATGGAGACGTAATATGCTGACATTATGAATATTTTCAATTTGCGTTAAGCGGCAGAAAATGGTTTGAACAAATTTCACTCAAGTATTTTGCCAACCTCTGATAATACAGATACTTTATAAACAATGTATCTAAGACATGCCATGCTTTAACCTTAGTTGATTAATAAATCAAAAACTAAATTTAGTCATTGACACCAAATTATATAGATTTGGTAAGAAACCTTAAAAATGCTTTAAATTTGTGATTACTTCAGACAAATTACTGAAATATAGATTATTTATACACTGAACATATAAAGTAGTGAATATTTGGACAAGTCTGGAAAAACATTAGTATTTGGTAATATGAATTGAAATGAAGAATTAATCAACGAAAGTCATTAGTTGGGGTATATACACTACTAACCATCAACCAAAGTCATTGGTGGGTTCCAGCCATGATCTTCCAACGGATTCTTCAATTCCTCCCATGTAGCATTAACATCGACATATTTGAGTCGATAAAATGAGTTGTCTTGAACTAAGACATAGATATGCTGATTCAATGCAATAGCAGAGAACCATTTCGACTTCATATCTTCATTCATTTTCTACATAAAGAAAGAGTTTTGTGAGTTTCAGCTCATTACATGACACATATACAGAATGGGAGTTTGAGATTCCTGGAAACTCTACTGAGATCTAAGTTCGTGTTGCAAGTTAAAGATCCATGGTTCAAACCTGATGACTATCACCAGGGATGTCTGTTTTATTTTATTTTTGAATCAAATTAAAATGTGTAAATTCTAGTAATTTGGTATGGTATGAGATAATCATTTATTAATGCTCATTTTCGACCTCCCAAATTGGCAGCATCAGTGTTCGTATTAATGGCTGCTTTGTTCAGAGCAAAGATGAGGATGACCCCATAAAAAAGTCATATTTTATGTTAAAATGAAGTTGGTTTATCTTTATCAATTATTCCTTCGTCACTATAATAGGCTTATTTGGTATATTCGCAATAATGTTTGCAAAAATTTGTGACCTTCTATATGCTAAAATGTTATTCAGTGTGGTCAGTTGGTCATGCAAAGCTGATTATGCTTACCTGCATTTGCTTCCATTCATTTGACCATGGATTGAACTGTTTGAGATGGAGAGAGGTCTTGTCAAAAACGACCAATGCGTCATCTGGAATGAAGAACAAAGACTGTGTATTAGATATGTATGAAGCCACAAAGATTACTAATCAGGTACTGAGAATTTTCATTTGGCAATTATGTTTTTCTTCATAGTCAGTACATGTATTCTTGCCACAACCAATAAGGCTGTGATACATAATGTGTGGCATCACTATCCATAAACAATTAACTGATAATTGTCACTTTTATATCATACATTCTCAGTCATTGGTTTACATTTTAGTCAATAAATGTACTTTTGTCCTGTACCAATTACCGAGAAACAATGAAATATAAAATTCTTTGCCCAAGGTCTAATTTGGGCTCAAGGTGAATTATAACAAAAGTACGTTGATTTGGGGTTGAGCAGTCTGGAAAAATTTAAATACGACTCCTAACTATGGGCCATAAAATTACTCAGGTCCTGATTTCCAACTTCCATCACAAAAAAAATAATTTATGCTCCCAGATTCAGGTTTGTAAAAAATATAGAATTAAACGAAATTTCGACTTCGAAAATGTTGACAACAGAAGCTCCGGTTTAAGCAAGCTTTTCTGATTGTTTGTTGAGAATATTCCGTCAACTCAATGCTATTTGAGTTTTTGGTGAAATTTTTTACTGCAATCATTGCCATCTAAATTCTGACATCAGAGAATTAAAAATTATGAATCAGACTCCTGACCAATGGATATTTGAAAATATATATCCTACTTCGTAACACTGAGTGGATGCTACCCTGCAGGCCTTACTATAATAAAATAGGTAAGTATCTGGGGGTGTTAGGTTAGTGGTTACAGTTTTACACCTATGTATGGGAATGGGTACCTAGAACTGGGGTACAGAATGCCAAATCAGACATACAGAGTATCCATAAAGCCCGTTTGAGATTTCAATTTTGTTATGAGTCAGTTCTCAATATATCCTGACCAGGATTTTTGTTTTTTCATCAGTGATTGTTCAAATATGTTTACTTCATTTGATATATCTGTGAGAGCCAAAACAATATGTGGTATGAAGAAATTCCCTTTATAATTTAAATAAATTTAGGACGTTGTGGACACCCTATTTTACCATCTTTCCGAATACAGTATCTCACTACATATCGAGCTTATGATAAGGTAAAAAAAAAAAAAAAATTAAAGTTAATTGAATGAAAGAACCGAGCAATCTTGAGTTGAATTACCTTTTGAACCTGATGCAGAAGCAGCTGATGCAGAAGAACTGGATGCGGAGGTCTTGCTATCGAATACTGACAATGCTACAATTCGAAGAGTTTCTGGATTTGCAGCAATCAGACTCTGAATACATTTTAAAAATTAGAAATTAAAAACAATATTAGTCATGTGTGCAGCCAGATCAAAATAATATGTTGAAGGTTACATTACAACATTTGAAAAAAAAATATTAAAACTGACAATGTTTATGAGCTAGTATGTCTTTAAACACTACTGAGGATAAAAGATATTCCCAAGTATGTGAACCAAAATGGCGGACACCGGAATGTAGTATGTGTACCAGGTATCACGTTAGGCCATACTTTTAATCCAATTTTCTTATTTTAGTTCTATTACGAGTTCGGGGACTAGCCAAGTGACTCCGGTGGTAATTGTATCTGAAATTATGGCCTAACCCTAGCATGATACACAGCTGGATAAAATGGGAGCGCATGATAACATATACACAGAACTATGAGTTCCTGGAAAACACTATCTTAATAAATTCGCAAAATCTAACTCAAGGTCAATATGATCAGGAAAGCAGCTACGAGGTAGCTACCGGTGATTCCACATAACTGAAGATCTTGGAAAATACCTTCGGAAATAATTTTTTTTTTGTTCAGTCAGTACAATGACAGAAACTGGTGAAAAACTAAGAGACTTACATCTTGCTCAAGAAGATTTCTGCGAAATGAAAGTGATATCTTAGTCAAATCAAATTGCTTGAAAGATTTGACAAACCCCTTTGAACGTTTCTTCTTATCGAATTTTGTCCAATTTATCAAAGCCAAGCATTTTTCCTCTTCAGTCGCCTAAAATAAATAAAGGTTCTTTTTATATCTTTTAAAAATAATATCCTGAAATATTTTCAAGTTCAGGAATCTGGTTATCTGGACAACATTGAATATTATGAAAACACAAATCCATAGATTGTGGACTAACAAATATTTCTCAAAGTAAGGAAAAAAGGCCTGTGCAAAAACCTGAGCTTGGCTCAGCGGTCTGGCGCCAGATGGTAGAATTATGCTTTCATCGCACCTCTGATTTCTCTCTGTAGGTTCGCAAGTTCGAATTCAATGAAGGGATAGTAATGTGCGAGAACATGGCTGGACTCTTTGCCGTCGTGTGGTGGTTCATGCAAACGCTGGTTAGTTACGGCTTCCTCCACCATCAAGTCCATAAAACTGAACAACTAAGTGGCTAACTGATCATATACCCGGCATCGCGGCTGGAGTGACTGAGGGAGAGGCAAAGACTAATGGTTCACCAATGTTAGAGGCTTTCCTCTCCCTCAGGAAAAATATATAAATCTTAAATCCTACAGTGCTACCCATCAATATTAGTGTAAATATCAATCAAATTGTGACTGAAATAATAAATGAGAGTCTCAATAACTAATATTCCACTAACCGTGTTTTCCTTGGCCTTGATCATTCCCACCAACTGTTTTTCATCTATTTCCTTGAATTCATCCAGTTCTGCAATTTTCGCGAAGTTGTTGGAAGCAATTTTATCACATTTTGCTTCAAGCTGTTTCAGATCGTACAACTTCGAGATATTTATGGTGATGAAGTATGACTTGGGGCCCAAATTCCTTTCCAGGTATTCAGTGACGACACCACATAATTCTGAAAAAGATTGTATCAAGAAATAATTTGAATTATTAAAAAATACAAAATATAAGAAAAAACATAGATATCCAGTAGTAAGTTTCCCGAATATTTGACCCATTATGGCTCTAACCATTTTACCATAAAAATCCGGCACTCCTTAAGTATTTGAACCAAGATACAGGAACGTAGTATGTGTGATAGGTTAGGATTAGGCCCTAATTTTATGTATAATTACTACGAGAGTCACTTGGATAGTCCCTAAACTCGTAATAGAACTAAAATATGGAAATTGGAATGAAATTATGGCCGAACCCTAACCTGGTACACATACTACTACATGCCTTGTTTGCACAAGCTAGCTGTTAAGGCATTGTAAACTCATAGGCATACGGTAGATAAATTGGACTCGAGTATAGGCTTCGCGCTATAATAAACTCAGCAGACAATTTAAAGAGCCTTGCGCACGACAACTTGTTTGTAGTCAAATTTTAGTTTTAAAGTTGGAACCTCACAAATAGTGCAAATATTTTTAAAACCTGGATTTGGGAGCCGGAGTCGGAGTCAAGAATTTTGGCAATCCGGATTCAATAGTTAGAACTGAAATAGTCTCATGAGTGGTTTAGAGTTAGGAATTGTGTGTAATTTTTTCTCGATTCCACGGCCCTGGTTTTTATGATCAAATATCACGTCTTGATATATGGATAGACTATCTACTTTATTGGTTTCAAATAAAGAGTTTCAAGGAAAAACGAACTCACTTTCCAGTTGGAACATATGAGAAGATTGCATATATGATGCGATATCAGATGTTTCATCAATAGGGAATTTGGAAGTATACATATACTCGATAACTTTCTCAATAGTATCCGAACTGAAGCCCTGGATATCAACTTCACCTGACAGAGTCTCAACAGTCTGAAAAAGTATTTTGGAGGTGTAAGTTGCACACTGTCAAGATTTGTCTCATATATCAATCGTGTACTACTTTATTGAAACCCTCTATTGCACTATCCATGTCTATGGGAACCCTGGGAGGGTTTCTATATTTCCAGGGCAGATTCGTGTGTTGTCATATTATGTTGAGTTTAAGCCCTGCTTACTCCATGGTTAGGCCAATACCACCATCTTAATCTAGTATAAGTAATTTTAGGGGCAATACTGGATTCCCTGTATTAGTAATTAGTATGTATTCGTAATCCTAGTCTCGCATGGTGAACTATTAACCCAGGATCACAACAGACTACAGAACTAGGGTCATTGAATGGAAACTTCGATGAACATTTGTTCGATTTTTTTTACGTGTTAGCTTTCACTTTTTATGACTTATATTTCACGGTTTTTATTGCAAACAAAGCAGTATAAGCAGTCACTAATAGCTAGAATCTATTACTTTGGGAACAACCAGAATCTTTTCAGTTGGCATTGCCCATCCTGGGTGAGGTGGCGGGCATGAGATTTGAACTGGGTTGACTAAGCCATAATGCCAACTATTATATTTGTATTCAGATATTACAAATATACTAACCTCATGTCGAAACATTAATTTGAAATAATCAGTTGCAGTAGACAAAATAATCTTATGCACTCGGAATTTTTCTGAACCAACTTTGATCGTAAAATCACAATATAGACCAGCTTTCCTGTACCTGAAATAAAAATATATTTAATTTTAGTATCATCAACAATTTTTAGTATGAGGTTTGACTATGCTTCTACAACCATTGTGTCAACATGACTCATAGGTTGGAAAACAGTGACCTAGACCAGGGATGTCGAACTCTCGGCCTGCGGGTTGCATGCGGCCCCAGAGAACTCCCAATGCGGCCCTCGAACGCTTAACAATAATTGTAATATTTTGGAAGTTTTTTTATCTGAATGTTATACATTTTTCAAACCTTTCAAATTGAAATTGATTATTCACACACAAAACGACAATTTACTGAAAGTAGTTTTTGAAAATCAAAATTTTATTTGTTTTCCATTTGACCCAATTATGGATACACCTCAAGCTAGAAAAAGTATATTTGGAGGAAGTTGGGAGCTTGGAGTTGCAATATTTCTGCATTTCTCAAAATTCTGAAGCACATTGTTTAATTTGTCACATTTCCATCAGTTCAATGAAAGAATACAATATAAGTAGACATTATCAGAATAAATTCAGCAGTCAATATGACAAATTCAAAGATCAACTCCGAACAGAAAATTGTTATGTGTTCGTATATTATTATAATTATACAACTACCTAGTTACCAAAAATCAATATCGACCATAACTCAAGCGCCCGATGCCACGTAAAGGTTAGAAATGTGGCGGGAAATGTTTGGTCCAAAAAGTCAGTCATTTGTTTGTTTACTGATCTATACATGAAATGACAAACGTAATATTTTGGCATTACTGAAATTAATCGAACATTCTCAACGATCCAGACTAATCGATGATCATGTGACCTTGTTAATTGAGTTGGTACTGTAAAATTATTTCAGCCTGATATTAGTAAGCTGGTGGCACAAAAAAAAATGCCAAACGTCAGGACATATGTAATGAAAAAACATTGAGTTTAATAGGATAGGATTTACATATTTATCCGAGAGGAGAGGAAAGCCGATAAGACGGTTTATCCATATGGCGAACCAAGGCCTCTCGTCCGGTTACCATTCCAAGTCGGGTATGGGATTAGTTACCTATATATATTGTTTGTTTTCGGAAGCATGGACTTAGTATTGGAGGAAGCAGTAACTGACCAGCGGTTACGTGAACCACTCAACGTGAACCACTCAACGACGGCAAGGAGTCCAGCAATCCTCTCGCACATAACCATCCCTGCATGGGATTCGAACCTGCGAACCCACGCAGAGTAATCAGAGGTGCGGTGGCGAGCGTATTCCTAACGCTTAGCCCAGGGGTCACCAAACTTTTTTGAACGCGGCCCGGGTATGACTCAAACTGGGTTGAAACGGGCCGGATGAATATTTTTGTCAATGCAATAAAATAAATTCACAAAAGTTGGGAAAATCATCCAATTTATTTAACAATATATATTCTACATTTCTGAAGACTTGAATATTTAATTCTATCTATATCGCAGAATATAGATAAAAAACATCCTAGGAAAACAAATATACAAGATTTCTATATCTAGACAACTATCCTGAGTTTAGCTGTTATCAAAACGTTGCTGTCATGAATTAGGAATTTTACAAAATCGGCTAATTCGCGCCAAAATAATGTACGCTTCACGTCTGCTAAGTACTGTTACGTCGTGTTGGAATACTGCTACTGCTAAAAACGACTACGGACTACCTGCTGTAGCTTGAAATTCCATGGAATTTTGACATAATTTAGATAAAACAAACAATATATCTGGTATTTGATTTTTTTCATTAGCGCATAAATTTCTCAGCTTTCGACGCTTTTAAAAATTCCGCCTCACCCCTTTTTTATACGTAGTGCAAATTAAACTATCATGCACAACTCCAGCGTTTATTTGCGACGATCTTTCGGCGGTGTCAATGACGGTTGCCAGAATAAAATCCCGAAATAGTCTCAATATTAGTGATTGACATGTGTTATTTTTTCATATTTATTACAGTTCTTATCAAAAAAGTAATACAATCCTTATGAAAATAATTGTCCCGTCGGGCGGTACTAAAATTCCGATATCTCGATTATTTCTTGACCGTTTTTTATAAACTTGGTACTGTTTTCTATTTTTACTCAGATCTATCCACTGGCGCAGTTTTTATTTAAATCGGATAATCTTTAATTTTTTTTGTAACATACTACATGAATATCCGCATTTGAGCAGTACAAAAGTTAGTGTGACTTATGAAATTGGAGCAGTACGCGAGGGATTATATCGTACTGTTAGCGCTAAATGTACATTCAACATTTATTTTAGCACAAGAAACGTAAACAGTTTCGTCGAAAGCACGCGATACGAGTGTACAAGTGCATCTTTCGCAGAAAACGTTGCGTACCGGTAGAGAATTTTAACCTATTTTTTCACAGCTATTTCTAGACTAATTTTTTATTACTACTATTAAAACTACAACTCCTAAGGATGCAAATGATAGTTGACTTATTTGATTCATACCTAAATTTCCGAAACACAATCAAAAACTAACGAATAGCATTCAAAGTCGCAAAAACGAAGTATTGTTTACAATCACGACTGGAAATCTGTCAGGATGACAAAAGTTATCTGAGCTGAGATGCGAAGAGGCTTTTTATTACGTCACGTTTTTTTGCATCTTGCTGATTGGTCAATGTTACGAAATAAACAAGAAAGACGATGCTCGGGGAAATCTTCCTTGGAAAAAAATTTAGCCATTTTTGCGTGTTATTGCGGGCCGGATAAAATGACGCCGCGGGTCGTATCCAGCCCGCGGGCCGTAGTTTGGTGACCCTTGGCTTAGCCCGTTGAGCCACACCGCCGCGCCATCTGTAGCATTTTGTAAATTTTAGGTCTATATATTTAGATTAAGTCATTTTTAGTGCATGTATTATTCTTTCCTTATATTATACAGTATTATATTATACAGTAAATTGCAATAACAGTGAAATGCAGAAAAATTAATATGTACCGTAAATGGCATTTGAAATTTAAGAAAATAATAAAACTTCATTCAGCTGTTTAATTGCATCACAATATATGTCACAAACTACACCTATCTAAAATATGCTTCAAGTATACATTATAAAAATATATCAAAAACTGTCTGCGGCCCTTTGCACAATTCCCAAAATGCAATGTGGCCCCCGAAAACCCACAAGTTTGACACCCCTGACCTAGACTGATATCCAGACAAACAAACCATGAACTGCAATATCGAATATTACAGAATTAAGAATATTCTCTATATTTTACATTTGAACATGTTTCTTTGGAATAGTAAATCATGAATCTCCGCCATCCCCACTGTCAACTCTAACATGGGATAGGATTCATTTATTTATGCCTGGGGAGAGGAAAGCCACTAAGGTAGGCTCAATCATATGACGAATCATGGCCTCTCGTCCGGATACTAGTCTATGTAGGATATGGGATTAGATGGTTAGTTATTTTGTTTTCGGAAGCATGTACTTGATGGCGGAGTAAGCGACCAGGGTTATGTGAACCATCCCATGGCGACGAGGAGTTCAACAATTCTTCCGTACATACCTATCCCTGCATTGAATTAGACTTGCGAACCCATGCAAGGTAATCAGAGGTGAGTTGGCGGGCATGTTACTAATGCTTAGCCAGATGCCCCACACCGCCAAGCCTGGCATAAATCTAACATTTTCAATTAACTATATCGAACATTTCCTAATGGTAACTACATCTGAATAGTACTGTAAGTTTGATAATATAGTTTGTTTGGACATTGAAAAAAAATTTGTTGTCTCAGCTGGCTATAGGGAGCTAGCTGTAATATAACCTGGCAAAGCTGCAACTGGTAATTAATTTTCATACATCAGTATTATAAGAAAGAATAAAAATTAACTCAAAGCAAGATCACTCCACTCACAGGTAAAGGGTTCTTACCTCTAGGCAATGTTACAGGCGACCACAAAAATAATTTACTAGGCAATGCCCAGTCATGAAGGTTCCACGCCTTTTTAAAATCAGTAGTCATATTTTTTGATATCAGTGGACGCTTGTGAGGACTTTGTTTGAGGAAAAAGGCATGGATACGGAACAAATAAGAAATTCGATTTCACAGATTTCAATGTACCGTATCCAACAATATGGGTTGTCGAAAAGGAGTTGTTTTCAAGTCTAGGACAAATTTATTTTTTCTAAACAGTTTACAATATTCATTTTTTTTTTGCATAATACCACCAGGTCTTGCAAAACCCGTCCACAAAATGATTTGCTTTCTGTATGAGGGATTGTATATTTTTCATTTAAAAATTTGTATGTTATTACCGGTACATCAGTATTATTTTAAGGCAATTGTTTTATGCTTTCATGGTCAAAATCTAACTTGTATTCATAATTAGCAACATGTCTGCAACCAACCAGACCTGGAATAAAGTCCACAGGAATAATATCCAATTCAATATCTCAAAGACCACAGGTATACTTATGCAAAACTGTTTTCGGAGACTATAATTTAACAAATGTTTCTCAAGAATAGTGCTCCCCTTTTTCACAATATTTTCTGACTACACATTTTCTATAAACTGTACCATTCAATAGTTATTATTTAGTAAACTATATTAAACAAGGTTCCTCATGGTATTTTTCTTTGGAATAGTTTCTGTAGAAAGCACAGTATATATACAGACAAGGTGATTTAAACATGGGAACACTGAATTTTTATTTGTCATATTATAATTATGTTGACTCAGCTTAGTAAATAGTGAACTCTTACAGCGACTGCTACTATGCAGCCTTATACAAAAAGAGATTTTCAGGCCAGAGACCAATCATCAAACATAAACAGTCCTCAGTAATTTCAGGATTCGAAATAGTGTTTCTTCATAAATAGCTAGACTACTCCATCCAAATAAACTGTGAAAGTCAATAGTTTATTTAGAAATAGGAATCAAAATTTTTTTTAAATTCCAGCTACGGTAAATATTACCTAGAGAAGGCATAGCAATGAAAGTATACTTACGGTTAAGGTGATTCAAAACATGAGGACACTGATATTTTGTT